ATATGACACCTTAGAGTATTCTCTAATCATTTACCAACCCTTTCTGTCTCTCTCACTCACCTTTTCCTCTTTCTCTTCCTGTTCTAAAATGTTCTCTAATCATTTATCAACCCTTTCTGTTTCTCCCACCTTCTCCTCCTTTCTATCCTCATTTAAAATCTCCTCCTCGGTTTTATTCTTCTTCTTGCTCACAGCTGCCGACTCGCTATTTTCTGCCTTGCTGTGTTTCTCATTACTTGCCTTGTCCTGAGACTTGCTAGCTTCACACTTCAAAACGATAGGGCCTGGCATAGGGATGTATTCAACAGGCTCTTTTTTCTCCTTGAACCCTAAACGCTCCAGTGGGCTTTGCATCACGTAACCAATGTCGATTTGAGGCTTTCGTCTGAGGTTCTGAAAGAAATCTTCTACTGCCTTCGCGTCCTCACAGTCCGGGGGTTCACTTGACGCCTCCTCGGCTGTCTGATCCGGTTTGGCTTCAGTCAGTTCCTGGAGCTTACTTTTTTGGAAGGCAGAAACGTGTTGATTTAAGGCTTCACTGTTGTACTGACTGCATAATGTTTCTCTTACGGGCCGCGATTTTTTCTCTTCTCCTTTAAGTATTCTGTCTATTGTGAGCTTCCTTTTCGGGTTGATGTCTTTATAGAAACATTTGCACGCCACTTCCTCTCTGTGCTCGTGTCTCAGCAGACAGTTACGGGCGAGGAGGAAGCTTTTCTCTGTGAGATCAATTTGTTGACCGCAGCGGATTCTGGCCATGTGTGACTTGCTGGATTGGCTTCCTGAAGGACATTTAGTCGGGTTGATCGGGACGTCTGAGGCGAGTGTTGGGGTCGGCGTCGCTGGGACGTCACGATTGGTGGAGGAGGCCTCCCGTTTCTTGAAATAAAAATATTCTTCTTTCATTTGTTCGTCTTCTTTGCCCTTCTCCTCTCCTTTTTCCCCCTCCTCGTTCCCTTCTTTCTCAACGTTCTCTTGCTCATCGTTTTGTTCCTGTTGATGACCGCTTTCTCCTTCTTCTGCTTCTTTTTCGGATGAATCTGTCGGCTTAGTTTGGTCTTCCTCGTCAGATATTCCTTGTGGAGGAGGCGTATCATTATCCTGTCTGTTGTTGTTGTATTGCAGCCACATGGAGCTGCAGGATATCGGATCGTACCTAAAGGCATTCACTCTGTCGTTTTCATGAGTTCTGGGAGAACATTTATCGCCCAATAGCTTTCGTTTGACTTTTCCGTCCAACGATTTTTTGTGCTTTGTTGCAAATTTTCGCTTCGACGACTTTTTGGAAGAGATACATGACGGTTTTTTTCTTGCATTTCGAATGAGCGCATCATTGGAAATCTTGCTAGAAACAGATATGAAACTTTTTCCTTGGGAGATGCAAGGTACTGGGAGATACGTAGAGTTGTGCATGACATCGTGACACTTTGGGTGCAATATAGAGGTGATGGAGCGCTTTTCCTGGAAAACCCTATGTTGCGTGCGGCTTGAACGTTTCGACACACCTGCTGGCACCTTGCCCGCGTTTGCATTGCCAGGTCTTGAAATGACACCAGGCTTTGAAGTGTCTGGGGTGTTTTTAACTACGGCAACTACGGTAACATTTTTGAGCTTGACAGTGGATGGACTCTGGCTCGTTGTTATTGAGGTACCTTCTGACGTCATGCTCATGCTTGAGAATGTCGTTAAAGCCGTTTCGGAATCCGTGTAATCGTCTTGTTTGGCCTTGGGGGAACCAGTGAGATTTAACGGAGATGGACGTGGGCTAGTGCTTATTGCTACAGTGCTGCTCTGTTCGCTGTCCTGGGATGCTGTGGATAAATAATCTGGGATGTCGGCGAGCTGTTGCCCAGACTGTGTCGTAGAACTGGGAGAAATGTAATCAGAAATGAGGCTGTTAACAACCGATGTATGCCTACGATTGGAATCAGGTTCTTCAGTCCTTTCTTGAAAACGCCGAAGACCGATTTCAGTGTTGTCCATCTGGAAGAAACGGCGAGAGTTCTCGATCCACCTCCACACATGCTCGTGTACTTTAGCGTGACACTCATCAGCACCTACTGGTGTCTCCATGTTTTGTGGCACAGCTTGGTGATCATTTTGCACTTCGTCATCTCCTGTTGGAATTTCATCTCCATAAAACCCACTTTCGCGAAAGATTTTAGAATCTTCAAATTTACTAACCTTGGCTATGGTGCAATCGTGGTCACAGAAAGGAGATCGTCTCTTCTTCCATACTCCCCCCGCCACACCCCCTCCCAAGGTGCTCATAAGAACCTGTAAAGGCTGCAGTCTGTAAGCCTCAGGCGAGAACACAATCCCGCTAGGGCTGGGGTAGTAATTACTGTTATCACAAGCAGTTTCACGTGGTTGCTCACCTGTCCCGCGTGGCGTAAGCGTGACCTCATCGTTATACATCACGTCAAGATTGGCGTTGTTACAACCATAGCTTGTGTTTCTGATAGCACTTGCGTTTGCGTTTTCAGATTCAGAGTTCACTTTGTTATTTTGCTCGACATCTGCAATGCAATCCTTGCGAGAGATTTCAATATCGTCTTTTCCCTCCGCCTTGTCAATAGTGTTTTGGACTCCCCCACTATCTTCCTCTTGTGATGATGGAAAAAGGATTTTCTTACATTTTTTCGTCTTCCGAGAATTATACAAATCCGAGCTGACGAACGCTGGGTATTTTCGTTTTGCACCCATTTTCCTATCGTGAGCACTGTTGTAAATGCTTTTCTTCAGGATTTTTGACAGCGTTAACGTTTCAGTTTTTCTTCTCGTCATGAGCAGCTGTGCTCCAGCAATATCATATCTGGAGGCGCGGGCTGAGAACAGTTTTGCCAACTCATAAAATCTCGGACACTGATCACCGTTCCTTGAGACCACAATACGGTCACGACGCTTAGCTACCGCTGTTTTGAACACTTGGCTTTCTCTGTTTGAGGCATCTAAAATATCCCCAAAAGCACATTTTGCATTAGAAATGCAGTTTGCGCTTAGACTCTTTGTACACGGGAAAGATGAGGGTAGCACGAACGGGTCAGCCATGACTGCACTCTTCGTCTATGCAAGGATCTTAACGTTCGCTACGAGATCTCTTGTAGTTTGCAAGGTGATGTATCTCCTCCTTATTCTTTTGCCTTTCTAATCCCAATATTAAAAATGCCAACGAAGTTAAACAGTCACGTTTTTATGCTTGATGTATCCTTTACAGTTCAATTTTTTGTAAACTTTCATGGCGCTTGGTTGTCGTTGTTTTGACTAGGCACAGCAATGACTTTTCCTTTCGATCTCACAAGGTGCACATTGGTACACGTAATGGAGAACGCGTTCGAAACGGTGTTTAAGTCATAGCTCAGCTTCTCTATTTCACAAGACATCAATAATTGTCTCTTGCTCCTATTCTCTTCCCCGTCAAAGACGTCGATATAGACTTTCAAAGGAGAAGCCCATTTCGTTTTGAAATTGTGTTCTTGTTGAAGACAGTGAAATCATCCATTTTTATCTTTGAAATCTAGCTCTCTTTATTTTTCGGTTCTTGTCTCTCAAACCGTGTGCGTGTCCCTTCGGCCTTCTATGTTACAGTTGCTCTCTGTTGACTCCTGATACCCTAGAGAGAAAAAAGTAAATTGCGAGACTAAATTTTGCATTTCACACTGTGTATGTATAGTAATTTTAGTCATCTACTTATGTAATAATAATAATAATAATAATAATAATAATAGATAGCATTTGTATAGCGCATATCCCCGCTCAACAGCAGGCTCTATGCGCTTTACACTATATTATTACCCCAGCAGACCATAGAACACTCCGAAACATTCTCAGCTTCCTGGGAAGCATACAGTGCAAGCAGCCGATTAAGCGCTCAAACCGAAGTACACAATATACAATTTCCCCACTCTTACTTACAGCGAACTCAGGTCGTCTGCGTGCGACAGCGAAGCACCTAACCGGCACACCAAAGCCAGCGGTACGATCTTCGCACAGAACCCATGAGACATTAGTCTGATTCCTGTGGGAGGATATTTGTTTTCTGCTGAGAGCAATGCTACAACACCTAAGTTGGTTCCGACAGCCAGGTTTGAAGAAGCCAGCTCCAATTCATTATGGTTATGATTTCGTCTTATGAGACGAAAAGTACTAGATCTAGATCTAATTTCGACCTTGATCTAGATAAAATTAAATTCATAGGTTTTAGATCTGGATCTAGAAATCTAGATCTAGAGAAGAAAGATAATAATCTACAAAAGTAAAAGTGTAAACCTCCAACACTGACTCTTGAAACTTCTAGAGGCTGAATAACGTAAGAAAATCACGTTATGCCATTAGGATTAAGCTTTAAGACCTCATCCCAGGGTGTTGCCCGAAACTAACGTTCAAAGCGTTTATCATTGTCTCGTGTTTATATTTTAAATACATTAACATTAATAATTACAGACCTTTTAACACAAACAGAATCACAAAAGGTCACAATTAATATATGAATTATCTTTAAGCGATAAAAAAAAAATCATTTCGAGGTGTAGGATCTTTTAAATATTTTTCTCACCCCTTGCACCAGCACCCCCATCGCCCCCTCGGTTCCAATCAACACATAGAAGCAGTGGTTAGCCCAGGATTGTGAACGAGGACATGATGTGTTGTGCTGGGAAATGCGCACACTGATTACTGCGGACGCCGGGAACCACGTCCGTTCAGCGGCGATGAATTGTCGTGCATAGCAATCACAGCTATTATGTAATGCTCAAAGAGGTTATACCTCTTTGTGTTATGCTTTATCTATAGCCTAGAAGCACCATCTGTACGTTTAAAAAAAAATTGTAATATTCATCCTAAGCAACCTATCCACTCAGCTGAATATAAATGTATGAATTATACATTCAACGCAAAACAGTGCGTTAATTTGCGACATAAATATTGTTTACCCTAGATCTACTTGATACTATCATATTAATCACCGTGAGAAAATTTTAGCCCATTTATGGTTCAGTTCGGTTCGGTTCGGCACCGTTCAGCACATTCCGATTCGAAACAGGAGACCAGGGAAAGTTCATATTTTGCATTTTCTCCCTTCCGGTGACCGCAACACATCTGTCTTCTCTCGGAACTCGTGCAAGCTTCCCTTTTCATCCTTTGACATTGAGGTATCAGTGGCTGTCTCTTATTACATGAAAGTGGAGTCTGACAATATGGGCGTGGAAATGTCTTTGCGTTCTATGATTGCTTGATAATTTCTTCCTCTGAAGTTGAAAGAATTCCTGAAGGGAGATGAAGAAGGACTTCCGTAACGAGCGACCACCCCAGCCTACGCAATAAAGAAGGGACTTTTGAGTGGGATATGTAAAAGATAGGGTTTAGTATTTGGTTGGGCAATAAAGAAAGTAAAGAAAGTAAACTGAATTTGTGTTACTTTGTATTCCTAT